TTTTTTTTTTTTGGCTTTTAAATCTCCTTAGGTACATGAAGTTTATTTTTAGTCTTAGTTTCAATTTTCTCTGTTCACGCAAAGACTCCAGGATTTAAGTATCTTTTTAACCCTCTGCTTAATTATTTAAAAATATAGGCATGAGTAAAAAAAAATCCAATAATTTCTATCTATAATTCACAGTCCCTGGATTCATGCGTGGAATTTATTATTGGCAGCAGCAGTGAAAATCAAACAGAGGAAGGTGGTTTTAACGTATTCCAGATCCATAAACTAGGAGGAGAATCCTTAAATCTGGATGTTAAAATGAAATAAAGAAGAGCATGCTGCTGCCAATGACACGCCAAATACAACTGTAATTGACCATTTGCATTGCCGAGTCTGGCAGAAAATAAAACAAAAAAACTTTTGAAATATCAACACCTCAGTTCCAAAAACAATCCTTGCTTGAGTGACAGTTTTTTTCTCCTTAATTTTCCATTTWCCACACAACTTGTTGCTGACATTTTTAAGATAAACTGGATTTAAGCTCTGCGCTCAAGAGGCAAAAGTTAAAACTTTAGGTGATGCTTGTAATGAARTAAAACCATTTTTATTGCATTTTTGTTCAGGTAAAATTTGAACCTTATCAACTGCTGATCTTAAATAATAGGCTGCTAAAAACCTTGCACTTTTAAATGCTGAAATCAATTAGATTGACTTAATTTTGAACAAGAAAAAGAGCTGCTCTGTGTGTCAGTGTTTAAGGCTGATGAGGTTTTTATGGKTTTTTTTTCTTAGCTCAAGTTCCCAAAATAATTTTAAAAAAGTATTGCATGAAGTGCAGCTCTTTGTTGTTCCAGCAGGCATGGTGTGCTAACATGTTTACTTTATGTGTGCTGTATGAGCCAAAATGGCCTGTTTGCCAGAATAAAGGATGATGCATGCTTTAGGTGCACACTCGCAGACTGCAAATGCAGCCTCTTGTGCATATTCTGTCTGTGCACAAAACTTGCGAGTCTCGCAAAGTTTTCAAACAAAATCTCAAAGTGTGAGAATGGATGACTCTTGCGAATTTAAAAAAAAAACGAGTTTTTGTTACTTTTGCACTTATAAATATGATTGATAGACTGGACCGCCTGGCTGCTGGCGATTATTTAAAGTCAAAATGAACCTGTAACGTGTCAGCAGCCTGATTCATCAGTCCAGCTCTGATGATCATACAAACTGCTACATTTTAGAGGTAATCAATGACAGGCTTGCGGGTAATTATCAATATCATTAATGTTTCAACAAGGATATACAACACTCTATAAAACACCTCTCTCTTTCTACATCCCTGCGTGCTCGCGCACTCACACACACACGCGCACACGCATGCGTGCACGACACCAGAAGTGTTTCAAGTCAGCAGGGAAAGCACGGATTGGCTCTTTGACGTGAGGCTGAGAAGCAGCAGAGATGCCACTGACGTCTCCCTTCAAGCAAACGCTCAGCATCTCAAGGTCAAAATACGGGGATCAAATCTTTAACATCTGCTTTGAATAATGACCACATAGGCAAGAAATGTGCTCCGCAGCGTCAATACTGGGAGCTGCAATTTTACACTGAAGAGCGCGAACACAGGGACATTTGTCTTAGCTTCATTTTGCCCTGACAGATTGAAAAAAAAAAAGAACACCAAACACAAGGAAGAGGAGGACAAATGAGGCTGTTGACAGTTTCTGCAGTAGTTTGCTCTGCCGTTGTGTTTGTGTGAGGGAATATTTTTTGCTTCGTATCAGACAGTAATGACAAGCTCTTTATGAACTTGTGATGAGAGTTTTAGACAGTCCGACAAAGACAAAACAGCCTCAGTGGTTGCAGCCGCCTCCACTTTTCTGCAGTGGGTGGTTGCATGCTTTTTTAAAATTCTCGTTTCTTTTCGGATTAGTCCAACACGTTGACAAAAATTCCCTGATCCTGACAGGAATTTGTTAGATAAATCGTAATATTTGACCTCTGACCTCGTCTGCATAACTGATCAAACTGTGCTCTCCTGTTACACTTGTAGGGTCGAGTGCAGAAGCATGAAAAAAAAAGTACCTGCTGAGGTCAGAAAGCAGGTTTGACAGGAAGCAGCGGGTCTCAAAACAGGCGACGTTACTATCAGCATGCTGAAAATCTCCTTTTACAAGATATGACTGATGACTTCCTTACAACAAAAGTACTCAGAAAGCCTGATTAATCTGTCACTCRTTCCAGAAGTAATGCAAAAGTTTATATTATTAAAGTTAAACATGCTGAAAACACAGTGTTTTTCAATAAAAAGCAAAAAAAAAGTCACCATCAGAACTCAAAGCCATTCATGATCGTTTTACAGTCCCCATCCGGAGGTGCACCAACCTTGCAGCTCTCACAGGTCAGCAGCCCGTAGTGATACCCTGAAACCTTGTCTCCGCACACGGGACACATCTCGTCCAGGTCTTCGTCATAGGAGTAGTCCATCATTTTTAACTGGGGGGCTGCGGAGGACACACGGACACACACAGAGAAGTCTATTTCAGTGCGCTTTCCCCAACGCCCGCTCTCATCCATCAAGGTGAAGCGCCGGGGAGGGGGACCGAGTGAGATCTCTGCAACTTTGGGTTCCCTTCTGAAGGTTTAATTTCAGGAGATTAGAGACGATTTGGGTGTGAGTTGAAAGGACGCGACCGTTTCTCCCCTTGACTGCCCTCTCTCTTCTACATTCRCTGCAGACAGAAGCAAAAGAAAGTGGGGGGGAAAAAATCAAATAAATAAAAAGAAAATGCTCATGAAAGTCAGCCTCATAAATATGCATGTGTCTAAGTCGTGCAATGGCTTGGAGGGGAAAGGGGAGATATTAGACTTGAGGATTGGATGAGAAAATGTTACCGCCCACAGACAAATGAAAACACACAAAGAAGCTTTTTATCTTTGCAGGCGATTAAAAAAACACACATAAAACCAACATTTTTCTGTTTTTCTTTTTTTCTCTCTCTCATTTTTGTTAGAATCACCGCTAACGCCAACGGCCAACACATTCAGAATCAGTTTAGTGCAAAAAAAAATTATCATTTGATCATGTTTAAGTCTATTTGTACAAGTTTTCTTATCAGAATTTATTTTGTTTTGRCTTATTTTGGAGACCAATAAAAATACAGACAAACTAAAATGACACGAGTTATATTTAATTTAGACTATTTAAATCTTGCTTACCTAAAAATCATTAAATTTACAGATTATATGGGATTTTAGACGTACCTGAGGGAAAAAAAATACGCAAAAATATTAATTGTCTAAACTTAGCAGCCAGGACCAAAGGGTAGACTGAACCTGGATAAATGTGTGGCTGAGGGAAAAAAATGGAAACATTTTRTCAGCTATAGATTCTTTCCACGGCCTTCACACAGATTCCTGCTCTGCGCTCCAAAAACTGCGCTCCTCTGCGCGCAGAGACGCCTTMATTAGACGTGATTTGTAGTTTGTTAACGCGCTGCCTGCTGGGATCCGCGCCGAAGCAACAAGTTCCTACAAGCYCCTGATTTCTTTTTTCTCTCTCTCCCTCTCTCCCTCTCTCGCGTCTCTCAGCAAACCCTGATCTGCATTTTGCTTCAAAGCGCGCAAAACGGAGACTTTCTTTTAGAGTTTGTGGCGCACGACGCGCAACCGATTTGGACGCATTAAGAAAAAAAAAAAAAGACGCCAAAATATTTTTACGCATCTGGATTGCGCATAAAATCCTCGCATAYTGGTGCGTAAATACAACTTAGTGAGGGCCTCGGTGCTGCAAAATATTTGATAAATAACTTTGATTTTAAACTTGATTAAAAAATGTTCTGTTTTAGTGTCCAAATTTTTTTATTTAGTTCTCTATTAGAAATAATTAAAAAAATCAGAAGCAGCAAAGTTGAAAATAGATTTTAAAGACGCAGAAACGCGTCGTTCACGCGTGTTTTTCACCTGCAGCTCAGTAAATACTGAGGATRAATAGTTATCTACGATTGTAAAAGGTGAATCACGTTCGAGCTACCTTTGTTTTTAGTTGACAAACCACTCCTTCAGAAAGTGTTATCAATGTCTCATAAAGCCAAGCGCGGCCTGAGTGACTGAGCGCCTTTTTTATGGCTGTGGAGTGACAAATGTGGAAAAGGAAAACTTTATCAGTCTATAAATGTTTCTGCTGCMTGTGAGCTCTGGTTTGCAAGAAGATCAAGGAAACGCAAAAATCCAATCAGACAAACTTTGTCCCGTTATTGAATAAAAAGCGCCAACAAAGTTATGAACTCATCAACAGATTGTTTTTTAAATCTAGTTTTTACATAATAAAAAATAAGAAAATTGTTCCCTTTATCTAAGTTAAAAAACATTTGAACTTATAATAATTTTCTTAATTTCAGAAAAGCTTTGAATAAAATGCGCAAAACTGATTTTTTTTAAAAGACTCAACAGTGGAATCATTTGATGCAACTGTTACACATTTATAATCCTGTTTGTCATCAACTTATTTTAATTTGACAAGGATTCCAAAGATTAAAGCTTTATATTCTGAATTTTAATATTTTTTTTCTAAATCAAACATAATTTCTCTGGCAGTCTTTATTATGACTTTTTTATTTTTTTAACAAACGAAATAATCAGAGGATCATTCATCGTGGATCATCTGTGTGGAGGAAAAGCGTTTCAGTCTAAAACCACAAAAATATACNATAATCAGAGGATCATTCATCGTGGATCATCTGTGTGGAGGAAAAGCGTTTCAGTCTAAAACCACAAAAATATACAAATCAAAACATTAAATATAGTGAGAMCATTTTGATCTTTCTGTCCTTTTATTTGTATCAAACCACCGCGTGTTGTTTTTGCTTGAGTGACAGCTGAATGGGATTATTGATTGATCAGGAGTCAGGCACATATAAACTTTCCTAATTGGATCTATAAATAAATTGTTTAATTATTAAATAAGGGCACAGTTTTATTGACGGTAAAATCTTATCTCATACGGCAAAATGCATGCAATAAACCTTTTTTTATATGGAAGCTTAAGGCTATAAATACAAACAGTGAACACGTTCATGACTCAGTCACAGTTTTACTTTTCTTTGAAAAAAAAGAAAAGAAAAAGAAAGAAAAAAAGGGGGACATGATGCAGTTTTATGTTTTTTAAGATGAGCTGCATCATATGGAAACTTTAAAAAAAATCGGCATTTTTTATGTTAAACAGATTGAGAGCAATGCACGTGCTTACCTTGCATGTTCCTTGGCATGCGCCTCTGGTCTCCATAAGATCGAATGAGTCCCAAAGATTCAGACTCGGCTTTGGGCAGCATGTCAGCGCAGCCGGCCTGAGCTGGAGGCTGCGCGCCGCTCGGCGGGACACCTGGAGGTGAGAGGTTCGCTCAAACACACCTCGAAGTGTCCCGGAAGGTCCTTTTTTTTTTTCTTCTCGCGCTCTGTCTCTGTCTCACTTTCTGTCTCTCCTTCTTCCAGTTACTGGACCATGGTCAAATCTAGACTTTCTCTAAACGCGACCAGGACGCACGAAGCGGATTTCTTTACTGAATAAACTTCACTATCATTTTTTTCTATTGGCGTTTAATTTTGCGCATAAAAATAAAATAAAATAAAATAAACTGACAAGAGATGAAGGATCGCTGTAATATCTAATAAGGAAGAGTTGCGCTGTGACTTGGAGATTTAGTGAATAAGAAAACTGCGCAAAGTCCGGCTGCAAACACGACGCTAAGTTTCACTTTATCGTTTCCAAAAGTCTTTACAGCGCGTCACCAATTAACAGGAGRCTGTCAGAGAGGGGTTTCAGCCTTCAGCAGACAAGCGCGCGCCGCCGGGGCCGCCCTCCCCAGTGCGTAAAGTCGGATTCGATGTGTCGGTCGGACTGTCTGGTGATG